TGCTTCTCAATTTTATATAAAACCTTTTTTAGTTAATTCTTATTACTCTTTACACCGGCACATAATCCATTCCTTTATAACATTTTTTCTAATTAATCTGTATTGACCATCATTAATTAATGTTAATCAATATTTTTAAAAAAACATTCTATTGGACAGAAGAAACCTGATGATGGAACGTACCTAGTTTCGAAACGTCGTAATAAACATCTTCAAAAAAACAAATTGTTTTTGTTATTGTTGGATTTACTGTTCGGAAAAGAAACAATCAATATATTGAAAAAATCCAGGACTTATCTATTGAATATATATATATATATATATATATATATATATATCTTGCACTAATAAATATTACTATGGATTTATTGTCGTGCAGATTTCAAGAAAAGAAAATGGCTTTACCAGAAATATGCGAATATATTCTGCGCTCCGTCAGCAATACGGCTAATGATGAACTAACTGGCGCATATACGTTTCCATGTAATTATGATGAAGGCGGCCCACAATTAAATATACTGATTGTACCAAACGAGAGAATCTATGCAAATCAGAGGCGGAGATATGAACATCAAGTGAGTTGTTAATTAATACAAGCAGTATCCGATCACGCGTTTCGGTGTTATACCTATAAAACAAATCTAAACAAATATATCTTAAATATATAAAAATGGAGCTCTCTTTCAAATGTCCGAGTAAAACTCGAAAACGGCTGAATCGATTTGGCCACTCTTAGTCTTGAAAAATTCGTGCCAATCCAGAGAAAGTCCAAAAGGTGAGAAATTATTTCAAATCCGCGTAGAAACTTTTTATTTTCAATTTGAAAATTTTTGTAGAAACGTAATCTAAATAAAACAATGGACGGTTGCTAATCCGTGAAATGTCAAACGTTTTTGACAGATGATATTCAATTACGTTTAATAGGATGTTTTACGTGAATATTATTTAGTTATGATTAAATTGTAGTAAGTAGTTTTGTTTGTAGTTTTATCTTATATATAAAAATGGAGCTCTCTATCAAATGTCCGAATAAAACTCGAAAACGGCTGAATCGATTTGGCCAGTCTTAGTCTTGAAAAATTCGTGCCAATCCAGAGAATGTCCAAAAGGTGAGAAATTATTTCAAATCCGCGTAGAAACTTTACATTTATAATTTGAAAATTTTTGTAGAAGCGTAATTTAAATAGAACAATGGACGGTGGCAATTTCGTGAAATGTCAAACGCTTTTGACAGATGATGTTCAATTACGTTTAATAGGATGTTTTACGCGAATATTATTTATTTGTGATAAATTTGTAGTAAGTAGTTTTGTTTGTAGTTTTATTTATATACAAAAACGTTAGTAAACGGGCCCCAAGTGTTACTAGAGACTCAAAATATAAACTTTTTTGATATGTTAATATGAAAATGCATTTTTGGCATATTTTTCTCAAACACGGTGCTCTGAAAGATCTTATTTGTATAATTATATGCTCATTGGTATTTATAAAACATTTTCTAGGTTATATATTATTTTTTATTTATGTTATTTAAATTCAGAACCTAAATTTGGTATCGATCAAATGGACCTTTTGTCGAATAACATTTTTCCAGTTATAATTTCCCAGAATTTATCGCAGAATTGATAGTAATATATGAAGGTCCGGGGTTAAAAAGGCCAACCACCGATTTGTCAAAAATCAGTAAAGTTAAGCATTGTTTAACAACAATATTTGAAAGTAGAGGAAAAAAGATTTATAGCCAGCTACAAGCTTGATTTGAAAACGGTAATCTTTGAAATGGGGGAGATAAACGGTAATCTTTGAGAATTCATAATAAAAGTATTTTTTTCCGTTGGTAGTTTTTAAGCATTAGTTAAAAATGTAATTACTTTGTAAAATACCTTTAAAACTATAATAAGGCTTTAAATCTGTTTGCCACCTGCCCGTTTCAAGTTACCCCGCCTACAGGGTAAAAAGGTCTAGATACCAAATTTTTGAAAGACATCAAAAAGGCACATTTCTACAATGATGAAGTAGAAGACAGTTTACTGAACTCAGATAATTGTTCGTTTGATATGTGTTATTTGCTGTGATATAATTGTTATGGTTTTCACAATATAGTTTACATTTGCTCAAAGTCAATTTGGACCTTTGTGCCTCGCCCTGCTCTACATATATACTTTATATTAAATTTACTTTTTTTCACCGAATGTTACTTGAAACTTTTCAAAAAGCAGGTAAAAAAAGAAATACTTTTTTGAATTTTAAATATTTATTTTCTATCTCTCCTCGCAAAAATTTGAAAATTTTGTATAAACTCAGTAGTATTATTTACAATTATACACAAAATCCAGAAACCAAAAATAATATGAAAAACTTGATACGTAATCAATTAGTCGAAAGACCAAAAAAGATTTGGATGGTTTATACTGTTTCCTATAGATAGTGTATAAATCTTCCAGTTTGATTGTATTGACAAAATATAGATAAACCAATGGGGTTTATTGTTTTTATAATACTTCATTGTATATAACATTCAAACAACACATTCTTATACACTTAAAGTATTAATATATTTGATTCTCTAGAAATTGTCTAGAATATACCTTATTTAGCAAAACAACGTTTGCCGGGTCAGCTAGTTTATACATAAAAATGTTATTAAACGGGCCGCAAGTGTTACTAGAAACTCAAAATATCAACTTTTTTGAAATGTTAATATGAAAATGCACTTTTTGGCATATTTTTCTCAAACACGGTGCTCTGAAAGATCTCATTTGTGTAATTATATACTCATTGGTATTTATGAAACATTTTCTAGGTTATATTATTTTTAATTTATGTTATTTAAATTCAGAACCTAAATTTGGTATCGATCAAATGGACATTTTGTCGAATAACATTTTTCCAGTTCTAATTGCCCAGAATTTATCGCAGAATAGATAGTAATATATGAAGGTCCGGGATTAAAAATGTCCACCACCGATGTGTCAAAAATCAGTAAAGTTAAGTATTGTTTAACAACAGTAAAGTAGAGGAAAGTAGATGTATAACCAACTATAACCTTGATTTGAAAACGGTAATCTTCGAAATGGGGGAGATAAACGGTAATCTTTGAAAATCCATTATAAAAGTATTTTCTTCCGTTGGTAATTATTAGTTAATATTATTAGTTAAAAATGTAATTATTTTGTAAAATACCTTTAAAACTATAATAAGGCTTTTAAACCTTTTTGCCATCTGCCCGTTTCAAGTTACCTCGCCTTTAGGGTTAAAAGGTCTAGATAACAAATTTTTGAAAGACATCAAAAAAACACATTTCTACAATGATGAAGTAGAAGGCAGTTTACTGAACTCAGATAATTGTTCGTTTGATATGTGTTATTTGTTGTGATATAATTGTTATGATTTTCTCAATATAGTTTATGTTTGCTCAAAGTCAAATTGGACCTTTGTGCCTCGCCCTGCTCTACATATATACTTTTGGTTAAATTTACTTTAATTCATCGAATGTTACTTGAAACTTTTCAAAAAACTCCTTGCAGAAATTTGAAAAAAATTTATAAGATCAGTAGTATTATTTACAATTATACACAAAATCAAAATTAAATTATACCAAAAAGAATCTCAGAGACTTGAAACGTAATCAAAAAGTCGAAAGACCAAAAAAGACTTGGATTGGATTATACCATGTTTTCTATAGAAAGTGCATAAAACTTCCAGTTTGATTGTATTGACAAAATATAGACAAACTAATGGGGTTTGGTGTTTTTATAATACCTCATTGTATATAGCATTCAAACAACACATCCTTATACATTTAAAGTATTAATTTTTTTGATTCTATTGAAATTGTTTAGAATATACCTTACTTAGCAAAGCAACGTTTGCCGGATCAGCTAGTATATATATATATATATATATATATATATATATATATGTATATATATATATATATATATATATGTACGTGTAAGTCCTTGAGGGCGCTACATCTTTAATTAATTAAAATAATCTTTAATTCCAAATCAACATGCGTTGTATATATGCATGTATATAACATAACATATATATAACAGTATATAAGCATTTATATATATATATATATATATATATATATATATATATATGTATCTATATATGTATATATGTTTTTTTTTGTATATCGAAGGAAATGTTTTTACGCATCGCAGACCGGTCTTCAGTCTGGGTATGTCGGACTCGATACCGCCCTGGTATAATACCGACTAAAACCTCCGCTTTGCTCTTGCCTCTGGTCCCCACGGAAACCGCCGTTAGGCATTACTTCGTGGGGGGAGGATCTAGAATGATATAAATTCTTAACTTGTTATAATCAATGTTATATATTCATAAACATTATACTTATCTTTTAAATGGGCCAAGTCCCATTCGCCCTTTCTCTCTCTATAGAACGCAGGTCCATTAAAACGTTTCTCGCAAATCTGTCTATGGCGTTCCAAGCAGCATCACTTGTCAGCATCACTTCAACAACATTACCTGGGGTAATTCTGCGTCCCAGTTGCTGCCATCGGTCAATGCTGTTCTGGCGTTCTTCTAATCTTAACTTTTCAGGACTCAGTTGTTGATGTTTTCTATGGTAAATTGTCCGTCTTTCCTCTGCTAAGACTAAGAGAGGCACAGTTCCTGAAATGACGCACACTGCTTCCGCCGATATTGTGCGAATTGCGCAAGCAATTCTTATAGCACTGAGACGGTATAAGGGCCCTGCCATTCTCCTCGATTTTTGAGATTTAAGAGCATCACCCCATATGGAGATAACATATGTCAGCACAGAAGTAACAACTGACGATAGTAATATCCTTCTGGTTTGTTTAGGACCTCCAATATTAGGCATCAGTCGAGCAAGTTTCGTCCTAACTATTGACGGCTTAGCACTAACGTGTTCCACCTGTTGATTGAAATTCAAACGAGCATCAAGCATTACGCCAAGGTAACAGATGTGAGGTTTTGACGTGATCTCAAGATTTCCTATCTTTAGCTTGATGGTCTCTATTGTTTTTCTACTAGTGATAAGAACAGCTTCACTTTTTTGTTGTGCTAATTGGAGATTCATTGTTCCCATCCACCGATTAATTTTTCTAAATGTAATATCGAATAGACTTACGATGTCATCAATTTGTTTGGAGACAACTACTATGGCAACATCGTCTGCTTATGCTACTAGTTTCACACATTCTGGAATCTCTAGTCTCAATAGGCCATCATACATAATATTCCACAGCAAAGGGCCTAGAACAGAGCCCTGCGGCACACCTCCTGTTATATTATATTCTTTTGTGCCATCGCGTGAATCGTACATTAGAATTCTGTCTGTAAAGTAGCTTGCGACTATATTGCAGAGGTATGCTGGCACGTTCTTGTCAAGGAGTGCATTCATAATGCAATCCCAGTTTGCAGAATTGAAAGCATTTTTTATATCCAATGTAGCTACAAGGCAGTACTATTTCGAACCCCCCTTCCATCTGGTTCCAGCAATTGCCTCCTTGGCGGTATTAACTACCAAGTTTATAGCATCGATAGTTGATCGCCCTTTACGAAAACCATACTGATT